AATTACTATAAGGTTGACAATTTGCCAGAAAATGTTGTAAATCTCTTGTTCACGTCGCTTGACTTGACAAATGGCCGAATTATGAAAACTTTCATTACGACGGAACATTTTCTTGATAGAAAATCACAATGACTCAACTGAACTGCGTACGAATATAAATGTCCTACTCTTTGGTATCTAGATTAGGTTATGAGCGAATTTAGTTTGGAAAAACCAAGGTCCTCATTCTTATGATACATCTATGTCTTATCAAAAGTTGGAATGAACCTTATCTCATTAATATTAAAAACAAAAGTTTACATAGATAGAGACGTTTGTTAGAGTTTGTAGCCTAAATGGCTGAATGGATCTCGATGAAATTTGCCACAGATGTAGAGGGTACTCTGGAAGAATATATAGGCTAATTTCTTTTGTTTTTTTTTATACCGTGCGTACGAAATCTCGGCTGAAAGCTGAACCTTATAAAGGGATAAAAGTTATTCGTTTCACGTATATACTTAGTATAAGAGATAAGTTTTCCAAATAGTTAATGTTCCTTGCAACATGGTTGCAAATGGAACTTCTTGTTAATTACTCGTAGTCCGACTTGTAGATGCGACGCAACAATTTAACTAACAATTCATGATTGTATTGTCCCCTATGAGTTTCTAAACCAGAGTACACATTATAATGAAAATTTGGTGCGTCTTGACAACTTGAGAGTTGGTTTATGCACTAAAACTTTTTACCTGTAATACTATAAATAACTAGTAGAAATGCAAAGGTATCTCCTATAAGGGCTAACGAATATCGGTTCATTATAACATAGATGTAGTACAGTCTGGAGGTACATAGTAACAAACATTCATGCATCTAAATTATCACATTTATATTTATTAAAAAAACTTTGCATAACAAACTCATCACAAGTACCAGGCAAACATAATGTTATAAATGATGAATGTAATCCCTATTACGAGCTGTCAGTGAGTAACAAAGCGCGGGAGTGTCGGAACCCGACGCGTATTGTATCCATAAACGGATACCTATGACATTATGACGTCATTGTAATATTACACGGGTACAGACCTGCGACCTCTTTATGGATAGCGATGGATTTCGTTAGTCATTCGATGCTCGTAATAAAATGTTACTTGATATAGTGGTAGAGTCGTAATCAATTCCTTATTTTATTATTTAAAAAAGCTGACATTAAAAATAATCACCTAAAAAATTTATAGTTGGTGGTAAACGTATAATTGGTAATGGCAGTAGCTGTTGCTTGTGACTTTGTTCGCGCGGAATTAAAAAATAGTATAAAACATAGCCTATGTTATTCAGCGATAACTTATCTTTATAATGGTGAAAGATTTTTTGAAATTGGCCGAGTTGTTTTTGAGTTATTTTAATACATAAAACAATACAAATCTTTCCTCTTTATAACATTAGTATAGATAATGTAGCATATCAATGGTGAAAGAATATTGTAAAATCAGTCCAGTAGTTTCCAGTAACATTATAAAATTAAGTAATCTATAACTTTATTTCAAAAATAGAAAGGTATTAATATGTGTGTTTGGTGTAAATTTTAATTTCCTAATCATGTTATAATTATAAAATCTAACTTGTCACTTCTCTGTTAAACTTGAAACTTCAACCCATTCAACTTTATACATCCATTAAAATTATTTCTATCGCGTCCCGAGCTTTTAGTTACTTGAACTTTCCCAACACTTATAAAATTGATCTTTAAGTATTAACGGATTCCGCCAAGCCCGCCTACACTTGAAATAACAGTTGTTACTGGACACCGACGACAGTTTTATTTTATTTCAATTTTATTTATTACTTTTCTATTGTCATAAGCTCTGAACTTTGAAGGAATAGAAGTTTAATAGAGCTTTTACAGATTTTATACTAGCTCCTGCCCGCGACGCCGACGATGCGAAATAAAAATCGTATTAGTGTTTTTTTTAGACTAGTATATGCATCTACCAATTTTCATCCAGATATATGTATGAAGAAGTTACGTTACGTGTTAACAATCATCCATCCATCCAAATCGCATTTATTATTACGATTTTAATTCTTTCCTTTCATTTTAACATTAAAAACTTCTTATACAACACGGAATAACAATATCGTGTTTTAAAACGCCACTAACGCCATCTATGAATTGTTTTGAAAAAATACACGATTTAGATAGTTGTTTTTTAATTTAATTCTGAAATAAAAATATTTAATAAACATCAACTTTTGATTACTTTAACATGGTGCACGTCCAAGTATCATTTAATTGTAGTCCACTTCGTTAGTGGTTGAAGTACTTGCAAATGACTTAAGCACACTCAAACAGACTTTACTTAACTAACCGACCGTGGTTGAATCAAAGCCTCAAACTGGTTTATAATTTGTCACCAGATTTCTATTTCCAAGAATAATTTCTTGAATTCAGAATCAGTATATTAGTTACTGAAGAGTGCAAACTTTTTTGTTAATTTTCAACGCTTATGTGATGTAATAAATTGTATCTATTGTTTCAGTAGTATTTTTTACAAACAGGAAAGATATGTTAGTTTTTGCAAATGAACAATGTAAATAATAGTATGATAATCGCTAAGAGAACGTATTTTTAATGAAACTTATTTGTTTTTATAAGATATTAAATATATTTACTTGAAACGTATTAATAAAAAATGTATACAAAAATGCTGGTAACGTTTTATTCCAATAAATCAGTGCAAGAACTTAAAATATACATGTTCTTATATAATATTTGTTATGTCACAGTGAAAACGTACGGTTACATATTATTAATTACGTCTTCGAATAACAAAAAAAATCGTATCGTCATAAATAAATAATTCATTATCCGAGTTATAATTTATCGAGGTTAAGTTGATCTAAGTTAATAGTTGTCTATTAGTAATGTTTATTATTAACACATTAATATGATATTCTATCTTAACAAAGTAGACAAAGTTGGAGTAGTCAGTTAACTTACGGATTGGACGTTCGAGATTTTTTCAATTGTTTTTTTAGAAGAGAATGACACTGGCAATTAATAAATGTGGAGTTTAAATTTTTTTCGGGTTAATAATTAGCAGCAACCGATCAAGCCAAATCGGTCCTCTCGGGCACCCTTGAATCGGAATGCTAAACATGTATTGAGTAACAGCCCAAGCCGAGGTCCCCTCTCGTGGGCCCTTGTGCCTAGTCACTCCATGGAGCGTCCACCGTAGCGATCTAAGAGCTCGGTGGCATCCCTATCCGGTAATTATAACGAAGTAATGGCTCGTGCCGAGGCTCCTGAGGAAGCCTTCGAGCTTAGTCACTCATAGACGAGGTTTAGGTTAAGCGTCATCTGCGCTCGGTCACCTCAAGTCCGGTGAATCTGTAAATGCCTCTTCAAGGCAAACAGTAGCCATTCTGTCACAAAAAATGTTTGGTTATTTTATAATTAAAGTTTCTCGCTTGTATAGTTACAATTGTGTAACTTAGAATGATATTAGGAAGAGACGTTGCGTCGCCTTACAATTTTCAATAGCTATTGTTTCGAACTTTTTGGAACAAATCCAGTTTTCTATAATTATGAATTGTTACATAAGATACTAGAGTAACATGTAACCGTAACGTTTCAATGAAAATTTACGAAATAACTGTTACAAACTTTTATAACTTACTAGGTTTCGCCAGCGACTCCGTCCGCGTGGAAATAAAAACAAAAGTGAGTAGCCTATGTATTCTTCCAGACTATCCTCTACATCTATACCAAATCTCATTGTAATCCGTTCAGTCGTTTAGGCTACAAACTGTAACAAACATCCATCCATCTAAACTTTCGCATTTATACTATCAGTACGATATATAATTTAGTATGATAAAAATGTCTTAATTTGGAACAATAAATAAAAGAACTAAGCGTTCTTTTCACATATTTTTATATTTTATCCCTTTCCCATCCCTTCCCTTCCTAATTAGAGAGAACAGGAATAAAAATCGCCTCCGGTACGCCCATTGACCGAACTTTTCTCTTAAAACATAATTCATTATCTAATGAAAGAACAACATATTTTTCTTAGGAAATTATTGTTTAAAGAGAACCGCTAGATATAAAGATAAGTCCAGTAGTTTTATCTTGTTTCAGGAAAATTCTGTAATAAATTATCTACCCACTATGGCGCCATGGTGTCTGAAATCACGACCTAGCAGTCGTATCTAACTTAGCACCTTATCTACTTGTTATAAAGATAGTTTTCGATTGATTGCCTCTTAAGATGTACAATAATGTACGTTGTTTACAAAATTTATAGTAATTTGTCTGAAACGAATAGTATATTTACTACTTATTGTAAGCCTTCAGTTAGCTTAGAACTCAAGGGTAAATACTATATTTTGTTTTGAAATCTACACGTTTACTTACTAGCTTACAGTCATTTCTTTAGTAGATTATTCATACTACGTGCGGGCGCACACCTTTGACTAAATTATTACAACTGGAGTGCGATTGTCGATTGTTACGCAGCCAATTCAATTGTTTAGTTTCCCAACTAAAAATCGAGTATTGTGTGCGCAAAAGTCGCAGTTTGATTCCTATGATATATGCGTCTCCATATCATAGGAATCAAAGCGCGACTAAACAGTTGTGCAATAGTTAAGTCAAAGATTTTCGCGCTCTTTTAATCTTCACTAATCATTTGAATCTTACTTCTTACTAATATTATAAATGCGAAAGTTTAGATGGATGGATGTTTGTTAGAGTTTGTAGCCTAAACGGCAGAACGGATCTTGATGAAATTTAGTATAGATGTAGAGGATAGTCTAGAAGAACACACAAACTACTCACTTTTGTTTTTTTTTTTTAATTTCACGCGGAAGGAGCCGCGGGCGAAAGCTAGTTGTCAATAAGTGTGATTACTTTATAGTTACGTGTTTTATTACAATTAAAAAAAAGTGACTGAATGCTATCTTTAAGTTCGGTTGTGACGTAAAAAGATTATTAAATCTACTGTTTTTTACAGCGAATATGGCGTGTTCTAAAATCGTGACTCTACTACTGGTGTGTCTACTGAACGGCGTGCTGTGCAACCCTGTACGTCGCTCTCCTGACCTGGAAGCACGTCGTAGAAGTGCTATTGATAGGAGTATGATAAGGTATTGTATTGTAAACATACTAGCTTTCGCCCGCGACTCCCTCCACGTGGAATTAAAAAAATAGCCTATGTGTTTTTACAGACTATCCGCTACATCTATACCAAATTTCATTGAAATCTGTTCAGCCGTTTAGGCACTTTAACAAACACCAGTGGGAACTGAGGTAGTCGGATGGATGGATGAATGTTTGTTGATCGATGGATGGACGTTCCCACGTCCAAAGAGCTGGTGATGATAAATATTACTATGTCTCTATAAGTAATTCTAATATTAGAAGCATTTCTTAATTGTTCATCTCTTGTTGTCTCCCACAGGTTCGGCCGTTCATATCCTCACGAAGCGACAGCTGCTGAGATCAGAGAATCATTGCAGCGTCCAGCTCGTCGTGGCAACAGTTTTCTACGTTTCGGGAGATCCCAACCTCTCACTTTCACCACAGACGACCTTATAACTCTCCTCCGCTCCTACGAAGAGGATAACGATAGCCCTACCAAGCGTGTCTCCAACTTTATCAGGCTCGGCCGTGACCCTAAATTCATCCGTCTAGGCAGGTCTGCTGATGAAGAGAAGACTTACGAACAGAATACCGACCTTTATGTGAAAGGATACCCGGAAAGGAAGAGCCGAGCGAGAGATCATTTTGTCCGACTTGGTCGTGATAGTGAAGATCTTAATGAGACTGAGGAAGTTCTAGACGAAAGAAGGAAGAGGTCTCTTGAATGCGACGACTGCCATTAATTCCCCTGCTAATGCAACCGTGACGTCACTCTTTTCTGTCTTATTGTGATAATTGTAACCTTAAATATATTTTTTAAAAATAATTGCATTTCTATTGACCTAATACGATCATAATTATGGATTCTATACGTAAAAGGTTTACGTAATACATTCTTTTTACTCTAAATGTATACTCGTTTAAACAAATGACATTGCATAACCGTACGTCTTGATTTATACCGTCATCTCTCTTTTTTTAAAGGAAATGAGCGGGATGGATTACATTCATTTGTTTTGTGAGAACGGAACGTTACTGGAAAAGATAAGTTTACGGACTTTATCGGACATACAGTAAACTATTTATCAAAATGTTTACGAAGATTTTTTTTCACGCACAGTTAATACGTCACGGTTTTTCTTACGATCAAAAGTAAAGTTATTAAAGCGTTTAACATTAAAATAAATACATGTTTTACAAAATCTCATGTTATACAGTATGCTACTTTTAAAGTATTGCACTTGTTTAAATTTTTACCGACAGTGCGACAGCCAAATACAAACAAAAAAAAAAACTTTTCTTCTTCAAACCAAAACAACTTTATTTAAAACTTATTTCCATATTTTACAAATAACAAAAATTATTTCGCATCTTGTACGCGCTTTTTCTTCTGTTCTTTTTTTATCATATTTTTTTATTCTTAAAGCATGCAATGTCTCGGTGGCCAGTATTAAAACTCTAGCTGAGTTCACACTTGTCAGCCAAAGAGGTTGCATTTTACACTCAACAATAATTTAGAAACATATTTAACTACTATGTTTTCTATAAATTCCTGGCAAATAGAAATATTCATAAAAATCATTTTTTTGTTTTAAAAACCGCTTGTGTTTTATAATTTACAAACGCAAATTATTTATAATTATTTCTGCCTCCAATTTTAAAAAACTAATTCATAATGGACTTGAAACTCAGTATTATTATTAGTAAAATAAATTTATTAATAAATTTAAATAATAATGAAATTGTAATCACCCTGTAAGTGATAGTATTCGAAAAAGGCTGGGATTTATTTAAAAAAAATATTTCGGATACTTTCACTAAAAAAAAATGTTGTTGATAGTTAAGGAAATATTTTATCTATTAAAATATTCAATTTCAAATTAAATATATTAAAGATAATTGTGAAATTAAATGGAATTATATGAATATACAAATGGTTTTATTTAACAAAATTGTAACACATGCCTACACCCTCAGGATAAAAATCGCAAACATTTATTATAGAATGAAAAGCTTAACTAATTTAAAGTTTATAACCCAACAATTTTCAATGTTAAGTTTTCATAACTTAACATTCAATAAAATAACTTAAGTGCAAAACTTTTGTAAATTCGTAACTATTTCGTAAATATTTTAACCTCTTCCCTAAAATAAATTTCAAATCAATCAATAAGTATAATATGCAATACATTTTCGATTAGAGAAAACACAGCACAATTATATTAAACGGAAAATGAAAAGCGGACTTTACAGTTTTGTAAAAAACATCGCCACTGTAGTGTATCTAAATAATTTAGATTAGTTTGACAATTCATTTCAAATTTAGTAGGGATGGGTTGTGTAAAATCAGTCATAAATCTTATCGATATTCGATTTTTATTCTTATAGAAGTTGGAATCGATAGATCTATAGTTATAACTCATGAATTAAAAAAAAACACAGTTTTCTCAAATTAATAATGACCATAACAAATAACGAGAGTAAACATATGTTGATTACTACTACAGCCGTACGTAATCGAATTGGATTTCGCTATTATTTCTGTCATCGCTAAATTCTCTACACTATAATCAATACTAGAATTGTCCTATAAATTAGTTAGTAAGAAAATATTAATTTTAGTTGAGTTCGATAATTATTTAAACCGAATATCGATAGTTCAAAATTGGTCGCTATGCGTGTTTGTTTCGTCACTACGATACCTGTCTATTAAGTATGGCATTTTCCTTCACACAAATTAAATTCGATACTTCATATGCGTAATTTATCAAACTAATCTATCTTATTTAGACAAACTATAAGTTGTCAATATAAAATCTTAGTCACAATACAAACTTTACTAAACCAAGTATGGTTTATTATGCGACGATGGGGACATAAACCAGAAAGTGTAAAGATTGAATGTGGATGGCTACAAAGGTAGAGGAAGACCGAAGAAAGTATGGATGTTGTATAAGAGGGTATGCTTAAGAAAGTTGTGGATTCAGATATGACGGCTGATAGAGATGTATGGAAGAGCAGCACATACTGTGCCGACCCTCCATAAGGGATAAGGGCAAGTGGACGATAAAAATACTAAACTAAGTAATAAAGGCGGTAAAGTATCTTATGACAGTATCAGGGATCAAGGGTCATAAAACTCCTTGTTGCTTGGTTTAAATTGCATCTCATAATGTTCACAAAGCCTTAGATCACACTAATATAAATGAGAAAGTTTAGATGGGTGTTTGTTAGAGTTTCCTGTCTAAACGGCTAAACGGATTTCGATGAAATTTGGTATAAATGATAGTCTGACCAGCCTATGTATGGCTTTTGTTACTTGCACGCAGAGGGAGTCGCGAAGAAAGTTAGTGAAGTCATTCATTTTATTTGAAAAAAAAAACACTGATTTTAAGTAAATTAAAAACTTATTTAAGTAAATTTGCACCCCTTTGATTTTTTAAATTTCTAATTAGACCCTTGAAAGAGGTATTATTATGGGGTTCCATTTATACTTCTATATACTTCTATCTATACATGTAATAAAATTGGAGTGTCTGTTTGTTACATAAAAAAATCCAGATTTTGAAAAGATGATGTATTTGAGTTACTGATAGCGATTTTTGTCTGTCTGCCTGTCTGTCCGCAAGCCGTGTTTGTCCGGGCAATCTCCGAAACGGCTAGCCCGATTTCGGCTGTACTTTTACTGATATAGACGGTTATATTAAAGGCTGTGTTTATCCTAATTTTGCGTGTACGAAGTCGCGGATAACAGCTAGTTGTAAATAAACGCTAAGTTGAAGGAGTATCCTCAATTTACAATACTTAGAAGTACCGTAAAATACAGTCAATATAAAGGAACATTAAATATCGTATGACCAATTAGGGGAGCAAAGCACTGGTTTTATTACCGAAGCCCAGCTTAAGTGATAACCTTACCCATCTAATTATCCTACGACAGCTCGCCTTTCACACTTCGCTCTCTATTGACAATGAAAACGAATTTATATCTCTACTAGCTGTTTCTCGCAACTTCACCCGCGTGAAATTAAAAAAATAGTAAAAAAGGTAGCCTATGTTACTCACAGATAAATTACCTTTTTAACGGTGAAAGAGATTTTAAAACCGACCCATTCTTTTTTGAGTTATTTCATTACAAAAGTACGAAAATACAAATCGTTTCTCTTTCTATTAGTATAGCTTTCACCTTTCCTAGCTTTCACCCGCGACTCCGTTTGGGATTAAAGAAAATTAGTAGCCTATGTTTTTCCAAAATATCCTCTAAGTGCCAATAAACAACCATCTTATCCATGTAAACTTTCGGATCATCGTCTTCCACTTGCCCTTATCCCTTACGGAGGGTCGGCACAGTATGTCTTCCATACATCTCTATCAGCCGTCATATCTGAATCCACTCCTTTCTTAAGCTAATCTTTCACACAATCCATCCATACTTTCTTCGGTCTTCCTCTATCTTTCTAACCTTCCATATTCAATCTTAACACTCTCTGGTTTCTGTCTCCATCGTTACACAATTATGAAATTAGTAAGATTTTGCTGTTCAACTTAGAGGTCTTCCTACGTTTTCTTTCTTCCTTTATTTTATCATACTTAACAACTTGAATCCATATTCATTTTAATACAAGCTAAGTAGAAATGAACAAGTAAGATAAACATTGAACTTCTTTAAGTTGCTTGTGTTCAGATTAAGTTATGCTCTTTTGTTTTTGCTTTATTTTATAGCAAAAGTTGGTTGGTTCTTCTTTCACATAAAATTTAAAAAAAAACCTATGTTTCTCACAATATCATAGCTTTCTAATGGTGAAAGAATAAAACTGGCCCAGTAGGTATCGATATATTTCAATACATACAAAAATACAAATATTTCCTCTTAATAATCTATACTATTATAATAAAGCGTAAACACACACTTCTTTGTTGCCTAAGATGTCAGCAATCACAGCATATTTTCGAATAACTCTTCTTGTAATCAAAAGCCCTACACTTACGTCATGCTTCAGGCTATACATTTTCACGCTATTAAATTTAGGGCTAAATATTTTGGATGAAAACCCTAATGTGGGAAAGAGACCATAAGTTGTTGTCAACATCAAGGAAGCAAGGTTGCCATGGTTTGACATTATGTCATTTTGAATAAAGCTATTTTTTATAATATTATGCGGATGAAGTCGCATGGGAACAGCTAGTATTAGTATAGACAAAGAACGCTATATACATTAATGAAGACTTGTGATGTCCACACTGGTTGCGTTAGCAACGAACAATAATAAAACGAGCTGTCATCCTGGAAAAGTGTTTTATTGTAATTATTTATCTCACTGGCGACGAGGATATTAAATCATGGCGTTTT